AAACAACTGGCACCCTCCGCCGTTGTCCGTTGATTAGATTATCAAGCAATTAATTAATCATCTAAACGTTTAATTGCATCAATTACTAATTGTTCATAGCTGTTGCTGCTGTGGTTGCGCTTATAACATATAACACGTTCTTCCTATTTTACTTTAACTGAGCATACATGCATGTGTATGTATGTACATTAGACTACATCACCAAAAAAAGTTGAGGTTTCACGGCCTTGATTACAAAATCTATATTTTAAGACGTCAACCAAAATACTTAGTAAAAATATTAAGAATTACGTGAGCTGAACCGATTTGAAAATTCCTCCAAAAATGGAGTTCTTTATGAATAAAAATTTTCTTAAAGAAATTTTAGAAAAAAAGGGGACCTCAGATGACAAGCATAAAAAATCTGCATAAAAATAATTCAAAATCTTTTCAACGGAATCGTAATAATGAGATTTTTGATGTTGTTTTTTTACTTTTTTTCAAAAATTGATGTTTTTTTTTTTTTAATACCAACACATCTTAATTCAACTTTGAATTATGTTCGTTCATCCTACCTTTCCCTTTCATCCTTTGAATGAGTTTATTAGCACAGAAATACAAAGGGTGAGAAAATACCTTTCCAATGATACCTCACAAGTCTAAATTGGAAGAGTTTAGGTACAGTTCACAGTTTTAGAACTATGCATGGCCCTTACCCACCCCGTGCTTGCAAGTTATGGGTTCCCATATCGCACGAAATGCATTACCAAAGAGGATGGGAATTACTGTACATTCTCAATTATAGCTTACCGCCTTAAGGACGGCAGTTCGAATAGATCGCAGCTCATCCGTCGTCTAAACCGTAGCTGGATAATATTCGGGAATTATACACAGCCTCGCCAGCTTACGTGAAATATATTAGTTCTGGACCATCTTGTCGAGCTAAGTAACGGCTCGGGACGGGACTTGAGCTAGTGCCAAATATCTTTATATAACAAAGGGTTGGCCGTGACTTGAAGCTTTGGAACTTTATCTATGGTTTTCATTAAAACTAATGTTTACGTTTTCCATATGCCAGCTGATAAACAGGTAGCTTCCGGTATCCCGAGCAGCACTTTTTACAACCAACGGTCTTTTGTGAACTTGTCGCCTTCGTAATACCAACACAATGTCCTTCATCTCATAAACATGGTACGAATGACATTTAGAGTTACGGTTTTTATCGAGTCTTCCTCTCTATATCTGCCATATTCAGTCGTCAAGGATAATTCTCAGATATTTGA